TGTTAAAACTGGCTTAAAATTAACACTTTTAATCCTTCACGTAGCTTCACGTCCATCTGTATGCTTTTTTGTTACTAAGCAAGCTGTATAAATCCTCCTATACAAGCTATTTGGCATGATATACATGAATATGCATAATTACAAACCGGTTGGGCTTCTGCTCACTCTGAATATTTTGGTCATTTTATCCCTCTCTGGCGTTCTTTCCGATGCCAATTACAATGAAAAGGTCTCAAGAGTTAATTTTCTCTATCCTGCAATCAAACTGGTTCACGATATCGAAGTAAATCCTGGACCTGGCCAGCGAACAAGAAACAAGAGCAACAAGGTCAAAATCGCTCACCTCAACGTGAGATCACTCAAGCATAGAGAGCATTTCATACAAGTTAAGGATACCGTTATTTCCAACGATTTTGACGTGTTTACTATCTCTGAAACATGGCTGGACAACTCCGTTTCTAATTTAGAAGTCGAAATTCCCGGCTACAACGTTTTTAGAGTAGACCGTCAAAATAAAAGAGGCGGCGGTGTGTGTTCTTATGCGAAGCAGAGCTTCAAAACTCAAGTGCTTAATGAAATCTCTGGCATATCAAATGGCGGGCTACACCAACTTTGGATGGAAATTAAGGTACGCAGTTTTAAGTCCTTTGTGGTCTGCACAACCTATCGACCTCCTGGATCTCCAATTGCTTGCCTTGACAACGACTTAGGACCAAGCCTAATCTCTGCATTGCTACTAAATAAACCAATTTACATACTTGGAGATATAAATTGCAACCTATTACAGTCCGACCTGCCTGATTCCCAAGCACTTATAAGCTTCTGTTCTACCTACAACTTGAATCAGATAGTCACTCAACCTACTCGTATTACTCACTCCACCGAATCCTTAATCGATGTAATTCTTGTGTCAAATGCAAAACATGTTCTCGACACCAAAGTGYTATCTTCATCGATAAGCGACCATGACCTTGTTTACGCTGAGCTGGGTTTAAAAAAGCCGCGCACTCAAGCCACCTTTGTCACTACGAGGACCCTTAAAGAGTATTCTCCGGATAAATTCTTGAATGACATTGCACTCGCACCCTGGTCAGTCCTAGATGTTTTCGACGATCCTGATGACAAATTGTACGCTTTTAACTCAATGTTTAATRACATCCTAGAGGAACACGCGCTAGTGAAAACAATTCGCATGCGAGGACGACCAAATCCCTACATTACTGATGAGATTCGCAATTTGATGGCAACAAGAGATAATTGGAAGCGTAATTTCAGGCAAACTAAAGACCCATTTGCCTGGTCTGCGTATAAGAATTTTAGCCGCGAGGTTAAAAGAGAAATACGTATGGCGGAGAAAGAGTTTGTGGCACAACAAATTAAAGAAAACAAGAACAACACTAACAGCATGTGGAAAGCAATTCGTGGTTGCATCCCCAAAAAGTCTGCCTCTCAGAAAACATATTCAAAGGACAACGAAATCGTAGCCAACGAAATTAATATTTTCTTTGCAAATGTCGGCACAAATACAATTGAGAAAGTTAACGCCTTGGGCAGAGCAATTCAAGGGTGAATCCAACAACAGCACGTTTGTCCCTCGAGGGTATTCCGAACAATTCTTCTTTGATAATCGCGTGAGTYGTAATCAAGTGCAAAAAATCATTAACTCAATGGCTTCAAACAAAKCTCCTGGAATAGATAAGATTCCTCTCCACGTTATAAAAGACTGCCTCCCTGTCATCTTACCATCGATTACTTCGATCGTGAACGCCACTTTTAGCTCTGCACAATTTCCCATCGCTTGGAAAATAGTCGAGGTCGTACCTATTCCAAAGGATGGCGATCACGAAATCCCAGACAACAACAGGCCTATTTCACTATTACCAGTGTTATCCAAGGTTTGTGAGAGAGTCGCTCATGATCAGTTAACTTCATATTTATCAACCAATCAACGCTTAACATCCAAGCAAAGCGGAAATAAAAAGTGGAATTCAACCGAGACATCTGTCATCCAAACAACCGATACTRTTCTCGAGGCCATCGATAAGAAACAGCTTACTGCTACTGTGCTGCTCGACATGAGTAAGGCCTTCGATAGCATTGATCATAAAATCCTTATGACAAAACTGCAGGACGTTGGACTGTCACCTCAAGCCATTCAGTGGTTTCGCAGCTATCTTACTTCACTCTATCAAGTCGTCAGAATCCAAACTGCAGTCTCAGACCGTTTGCCTATGACCTGTGGTGTACCACAGGAAGTATCTTGGGACCATTGCTTTTTAGCATATATATAAACGATCTCCCAAGCGTTCCTGAACATTGTACTACTCAATGTTACGTTGACGACACCAAATTGYTGCTTACTTTCAATCTCCAGGCCCAGCAATATATTGTTTCAAGACTTAATCAAGACCTTTCCAGAATAGCTAATTGGACTCTCGACAATTACCTACTTCTAAATCCCGACAAAACTAAACTTATCATCTTTGGGAGCAAAGTGATGACTGCTAAAGTRGAAGATTTTCGTCTAACGCTACTGGAAAAAGAACTTACACCTGTCAAGTCACTAAAGGATTTAGGAGTTCTCCTTGATTCCAACTTGACGTATAAAGATCATGTACAATCGACAGTGTCTAGTTGCATGTCGCGTTTGGGACAGATTAACCGAGTAAAAYATGCCTTTGATCAAAACACTCTAAAAACCATGATAAATGCCTTAGTTTTCAGCAAGCTCTACTATTGCTCTAATATGTGGAGCACTACCACTGAGAGTAACCTGAACAAAGTCCAAGCTGTGCAGAACTTCGCATGCCGTATCATTAGCAAYAAAAGAAAGTACGATCACGTCACGCCTATTCTTAAAGAGCTACRATGGTTACCCGTCAGACAGCAATTACACTACCGTAATGCTATTATGGCATTCAAATGCATGACTGGGTGTGCCCCTGATTCCTTATGCTCGCGATTTATTCCAAGATCAAGCATCACGCAGCGTACGACAAGAAACTAGCAAAAGCTGCAGATACCTCTTTGCAGAACGACTACTGGACAAAGATCATTTTAATATAGAACTGTCAAATTGTGGAATTCACTAGACTCTGCCCTTAAGTTGGGCCCAACCGTGAAAGACTTTAAACGGACATTAAAACAACATCTTATTTCAGATTTCTTAAAACCTTAATGTAATTTAAATGCACAATTTATTTATCTATTTATTTATTTGCTTTATTCTTTGATCTTTTCTTTTTGCTTCTTATATAATTATATATAGTATTATTTTAATTGTAATTAATTAGGCCCTTTATTCTGAAAAGCCTTAAAGAGGACGAATAAAGTATGTATGTATGTATGTATTATATGATAAATTTTACCACCACATGGCTCAAATTTTTTGAGCATACTCAAGGCATCATAAAATTAAGACAGAAATACAATTTATGTCCATGGGAGTGCTCAAAATTTTTGAGCATGCTCAAGGCACCGTAAAATTAAGACAGAAATACAATGCCAGTATGTCCATGGGAATGCTCAAAATGTTTGAGCATGCTCAAAGCAAACAAATTACTTGTGTATTTGGATGTTTACGAAAATTACGCTTTCAATTCCTGGTTATTTTTACTTGAAAAACGAAAGATAACTACAAATAATCCAATACAATATCAGGTTTAGTGAAATTTACCTTGAATGTCTTTCATTAAAATCCAAATTTTGAAGATTTCCGAACTTTTATGGACAAATCAAGACTATGAAACAGACTTGAAAA